AAACAGGCTGTTGTTGGGGTCTTGAGGGTGGAAGTCGGGGCTCTGTGGAAGCTGAAAAGGGGCATCTTGAGTCTCTTGAGATACTACAACGGGAGAGTACGGCATGTCTGTAAGGCTCACATTGGGTGCGGCAGGAGGCCAGTTTGAGGCAGGCCCAGTAGCATTAGAAGAGTTGAAGTCTGAACAGCCAGTAACGGGGAACATAGTGTTGTCGTTGCCAGTAGTAGCGTTGGGGTCCTGAAGATTGTTTTCAGGGATGTCTTCAAGACTGGCGAAGACATGCAGAAGGTCATCCCCAAAGGCCGGAATATCAGCTGGGGCCATGCCTTCGGTCACTCCCGCGGTCTGCCTGTTCACGGCATCGACGTCAATAGACGAGTCTATCCCGGCAGTCAGCAGAAGAATAGTGCGATCAGTGTAGTTCAACTCACCACCAGCTCGGAACCGGTCAATGACGGCAGCGTGCTCGGCGTCCAAGTCTCGGTTGCTTGGGTTGGGGATATCAGCAACATAGACTACAGTGCCAGACTGCCCGGGAAGAGGTCTATCGAGCTCGTTGGAGACTTTGCGCAGCTGGGTGCCTTGTTCATCGTCTTGGGGAAACATGGTGATCTCGTCAAATGGCTCAGACATAGTATCCTTGTGCCCAAGGGACACATCCGGTTGGCAAGTCTTGGAAATGTCCGGAGAGGGAACAGACAGAGAAGGGTCGACAGTATGGGCCGTAGAATCACCCTCAGAATCAGCAGCAAGCCATGTCAAAAGAGGGAAAAGACAGTGATCAGGGGTCATGGCAGCGCCAGACTCAGAGACGGGAGTCGATGGGGGGTGGGAAGAGTCACATTGCGTGAGGGGGGATTGAGCAATAGGCTCAGCATCGAGAGGCAAGTCCTCGTCAAGGTTATTTCTGTTATCAACAAACATGGGATCGTTGGTGTTGGTGAAGTCCTCAGCGGGGTGGAGGGCGCTATCGTCCCATGGGTTGCAAGGTTGGGAAGTGCAGTCATTGCCAGTGAGGTTGGCCGTGGGTTGTTCGTAGGTGGTTTGAGATGTGGAGCTGTTCTCTCGAGCGACCTGAAGAGTCAAGTCACTGCCAGTGGTAAGTGGTTGAGTGTTGCCAGCAGTGAATGATTGGGCGAGGTCACTGTCAAGGATAACTTGGGGAGGGAAGAAGCTCATCGAAGCTTGCTGATTGAAGACATCGCCACCAGTAAATTGTGCAGGTAGGGCAGTGTTACTCTGGGTAGTGAAGGGGTCGTGAGAAGCTTGAGCGATAGGACCGTTGTTGAGAGAGGGCTGAACGGCGAGAGTAGTGGCAAGTTGAGCATCGCCAACGACTTTGGGAGCAGAAGTTGTTGTTGTATTAGTAGTCTTGCGTCGCTTCTTGTTGACGATATTCTCGGATGGGGTTTTGAGAACTCTAGTCTTGGATTTACTGTTCCTCTTTGTAGACTTTGAGGTCTGGATTGGCTCACCAGTCTTGGCAGCTTCATCCATGGCAGTCTTCTTCTCCGCCCGAATCTCTGCGAGCATTCTATTGATCTCTGCATTGTTAATGACCTTGGGTCCGGGGAGGTAGTAGACTACCGAACATAGTCAGTATTGGTGATTCGTATAATAATAGCGAGGATGAAAACTTACTGTTGTAGCTATCACCTTGAGGTGTGATAGGCAAGCCGTTTGCATCGCGAACCAATCGGGGGTCGTCAGGGTCGATGCGAACGACGCGGCGTTTGCTGGGAAAGACTTTCTGGCCCTTGTCCTCGGCCTCGCGAAGCTTCTTTTCCTTCTGAGTTATCTTCTTGGGTCCATCAGAGCGCCGAGGAGCAAAGATGCCTGGAGCATAGACACGCTCCTTGGACCAATCCTCGAAGGATGAAAAGCCATTTGAAGACGCTGGGGTAGAAGGCTCCTCTGCTGAAGAGTCCTGTTTAGGAGAAGTTTGGGAAGTCGATGATTGATCACCGGACAGCTCTGGGGTGACGATCTTCTGAGCATCATCACCAAGGAAGTCTTGGAGTTTGTGTTGAGTAGGAGGGGTAGCATGAGGTCTGGCATCCTGGAGTAGAAGGCGTGTACGAGGGTTCGTTGCGAGGTCAGTATTCATCACACTTGAGATTTGAGGCAAGGAGCTGTCCCTCTGATTCACACGAGAACCTTGCTCGGTCATGGAGTCTGGGTTGGCACTCAGGGCCGGAACAGTCTGCACGGTGTTGCCGCCCTGAGAATCAGAGGACTCAGTAGTAGGAGACGCAGCAGTAGGAGACTGGACCGCAACAGGTTCATTTGTAGAGGCCTGTGCGATAGGAGACTGAACAGAAAGGAACTGTGCAGTAGGATTTTGGGCAGGAGGAGTTCCAGGAGTAGAAGCACGAGGGCTAGGAACCTGAGTGGTTGGGGTTTGCTGCATCTGAAGAGCTGGTCCGTGTTGGAAGTTGGACTGGGCAGCGGACCCAGACGATCGCATCATCATGTTGTTGATGATGGCTTGTTGCTGATTGATGCGCATCTCCATCTGCTGCATCTGCGCGTGCAACTGAGGAGTCATGTTGGCCATAGGGACGGCACTCTGCTGAGGTACAGGGTTGTTCTGAGTAGGAGTGAAGGAGGGCGCAGTGGCGCGAAGGCCTGACGTGTGCTGAACAAAACCCTGACCCTGAGAGTCGCTCATGGCAGAATCTTGGGTGTTGCTCATGAAGGGAGTCTGAGCATTTCCCATGGGAGGAGTAGGAAAGAAAGGAGGCTGCATGCTCAGATCGCTCATGAAAGGCATCTGAATATTGCCCATGAACGAGTTCTGCATGCTGCCATGGAACTGGTTCTGGCTGTTGGACATGAAGGGGGTCTGAGACTGAGTGAAGCTCTCAAAGCTGGGGTTGCCCGAGGCCATGTTGGGAGTAGAAGAGGAGCTCTGGGCCCAGTAAGGGTTAAATTGATGAGTTCCAACCACCATGGGACTGCCGAAGTTGGCGTTGTTGTTTGTATCGTCAGAAGGAGAAGTGAAACCACCAATTATCTGGTTATGGTTCTGCATCTGGCCGAGGCCATTCTGACTCTGCTACAAAAGCAATGTTAGAGATGAAAGTCTTGCGGGCAAATCTGATGGATGTAAACTTACCATGAAGTGAGCAAACTGCTGCTGCTGAAGGTTGTTGAACTGAAGTGCATTTCCGTTCTGTTCCATGAAAGGCTGGTTCTGCCGCTCCAAAGAGTGTCAGTTGCGTTTCTTCTCATCTCGAGTGCGCGTGTATGACACATGCGGAGAGATGATAGCTTACCTGGCGAGCAGCTCCTTGCTGGATATTTCCCTGGGCCATATTGGTCATGTTGGGTTGACGAGAAGACATTATAAAAAACGCGACTTCAAGACGGAGAAGTATATCTCGAGAATGCTGCTGGTTGTAAAGATGCTGGGAGCGATCTTGGAGCAGAGTCGAGGATTGTGAAGTAGCTGAGAGCTGAAGCTTAGATAAAAGAATCAAGACTGTTAAGCAGAAAAGACTTGAGAATTGTGTACGACGAGGAGGATATCTCGAAGAATCAAGTGGTATGGAAGAAGTAGAGAAGATGGAGTTGCCGCAAAGAGAGCTGGTTGAATCTCCACGACGCTCAAAGTCTGTCAAGTCTGTGTGTTCTCACGAGAAGAAGCAAGATTCGATAGACGAAAGCGAAGAGCGTAGAAATGGAGCTGATATCAGATTGTTGGAAGATGCTGCGAAGCTGAGGCTGCGTGCACGAAATCTGATGATGGTAAGGAGAGGAAGAAGAAGAGGAGAGCAAGTTAGAGGCGAAAACTCTTCTATATATTCGAGTCCGAGCCTCGGCGCTACTAAAGTGCTTGCATGTTTGAATAGGAGTGGTGGACATGGCAGTGCAAACGGCCGTCAAGGGCTGTCAAGAGCTGTCAAGGATCAATATAATGGCGTTTGGCCAGCCCGGCAGCTGTCAACACTCGTAGACATTTCCTGGCTCTCCCTAAACCTCTGAGATAGTAACTCGTTGGGGGCTGTACTCATCTTGATGTTGAGACATCGGGCTGCTGCTGCTGACTGAGTATCGTGAGGTTAACGATCTTGATGTTGCTGAATTTTGGGCCTATGAGGTTTTATACTACAAGGTGTCACTCCACGTCAAAACACAACGACTAAATCTACTCCTTTCACTTCATAATCATAGATCATTCATCTTGGTCTTGTCAATAGATAAAATACTTTGCAGGTATCTCGGCTCAATGGTGTTGAGTTGCTCCTCATTGTGCTGGCACTTACGCTGCCCTCAGCTATCGGCCCGCCTTTGATATTGTCGGCTAACGGCAACGCTTTGAGCTATTGTTCCTGTGCTCAATAGAGCTGTTCGAGATGGTCCTAGCTTATGGGAAGCGGGCCCGAGTTGCTGAGGGCTTCGCGTGCCAGACGGTAGCTACCTGTCGTCTTGTCTACATATCATTGTATCGAACGGCGATACTGTAAACGCCGCAAAGGCATTACAAGTCTCCGTATAATGAGCCCCTAAGCTCAGGATATCTTCTATAACCGACCAAACAACTTCAGTCAATCATTGACTAGAATCACCACAAATTTGCGGGACTCTGCGTTACGGTTTTGCGGTACAGTGTCAGCGGCTGGCAGACTTAAGAGATGGCATTCACTACCACTACCACTCTACAGGTCAGCCCCCCTGCCTGCCCACGGCCGTCATCGGCGGTCATCGGCGCACATCTAGAAGAGCTTGCATATCCATTGCGTGTTGATCAATTTATATAGAGTGGTTGCAGGAATGTTAGTGGGGTTGCATGAACGGCCTAAAGCCAAGTAATATTATCGATGTGTACCCGTTCAGCCAAGACAAATGAAAAACCAGGAAACGATTCCCTTTGAATTCTTCTTGGAATTCACGTTTCGATATTTCAGATAAACCAACTGAATTATGACTTGTGTAGGTGCTCGAAAGGCAGCGAACTACCAGGAGTTGGTATTCAATAAGCACACGATGACGCCTCCTTAAGCAACTTCCTGGACCATCTTACCCGGTGCCAATTTAGATGCAGGCTTGAAAACCTGACCGGCCGGGCTGTCAAGCATCTTTTCTGTCACTGCCACTCGAACTCCAGTTTTGTTGCTGACCCACCGAACGAAGACAGGATCAGGCTTGTTCGAGTCTTCTAAACCGCCTGCGCCAGCAGCTGCGGCCTTGCGGTTGATCTTGGGAGCTTGCTTTTTAAGGAGTTTGTTGATCGTTTCCATCTATAATCTGGGGTCAGCACACAGTCCACACTTCTGCTTAATTCAATTTTGAGGTTACCTTTACTTCCTCATTTCGCTTTTCACTCAAGTTACGGCGTCGCCGGGCCATCTCCTGTCGACGCATGGACAATTCCTCAGCTGTAAAAACCTTCTTCGCTTGTACCTCTGCCAACATGGATTAGTGTTGCAAGTGTAAGTACAAGCGCTAGACTCACCATCTGACAACTTCATGTACTGGTGCGCATTGTCATCTTCAAATCGAGCTCGTTGCCTCTTTGTCATTTTGGTGAGATCGATAGACTCGTCTGGGTTACCATCTTCGTCATCATCTTCGTCGTCATCGTCGCCTCTGTCGCCTTCATCATCTTCCTCCTCCTCATCTTCTTCGTCTTCGTCATCCTCATCTCCTTCTTGGCCTGCGACCTCGATCTCCTCACCTTCAGCATCCTCATCACCATCGTCAGCCATGGTCTCATCACCAAAACCTATGGTCTCGTCTCCAGCGTCGCTATCAGCGGGGTCACTAAGCTCGTCGTCGTCGTCGTCATCATCATCCTGGATGACCTTGGCAGCCGATGCTCGAGGTGCTGGCTTAGACCGGGCTGGTTTGGAAACGGTGATGGTTGGGGGGGCTAGATCCATATCGATGTCTCCCTCAGCATCCTCCTCTCCCTCAGCATCAACATCCATCTCATCGTCATCGTCTTCCTCCACCTCAATCTCTGCCTCCTCTTCCTCTTCCTCATCTTCGTCGGGGCTTGAGTCAACCACATAACTTTTCTTAGCTCCTCGATTCCGCTTTCCGGATACGATTTCTCCGCCTTCAAAGCCACGCTCCCCGCGTGTAGCCTGTCGTAGTTTGTTGGAAGGAAGTTTGACAGTCAAACTCAAATGACGATCGCCACCTGGTGATGAGGCATCATCTCGGGAGACGGACACGCCTGAGGCGCGACCAGATCGTCGTGACGACATGCTTCTTTCGCTTCTTTCTGGAGAGTCAGCCCATCTGGCATGAACAGAAATGACTTCATTGGCCTTAGTGGCTGCTGAGCGACGTGGACGCGAACTCATGATGATAGATGGTCGCACTGGCGGGGCCTGGGGTGGATGGTAGAAAATGAAGAAAGTGGAAAATAATTAGTGGTATGCGAAGTGAAGGGTGGGTTGTATTTGTATCAGGATAGAGTTCAAGGAGTCCTGGGGTCCCAGGGAAGATCGCGAAAACTTAAATATGTGAAGTCAAATGAGTTGGATGACAGAAAAGGAAAGTGATTGGAAGACAAGTTTGCAGGTTTTGGTTTTGACAAGGCTGAAATAAGCTCAATTTGTTGGGGCGGGAGTGAGACAGCAGGAGCAGGAGCAGGAGTAGGAGCCAAGAGCCACCGAATAAGGGATTGGCTGGAAGGAACAGGCAGGGCCAAGGCAGGGCAGGGCAAGTACAGCTCGGATGTTGGTGGCGATTGCCGTTGGCGAGATAGGATAGGATAGGACAGGATAGGCTGGAGTCTGGACTTTTGTAGTGTTGGTGACGCTTCATTGGTGTAAAGACGACTTGAGCTTGAAGCTTGAAGGATGCGAGGCTGAAGATAAACAGCCAACTAATGCAATTTATCCTGCAACCAGTCAAGCCGATCAATCGACCAACCAAGGGCTGACTACCTAGGTAACTACGTGAGACCTCTATCTGTGAATACCGCTGAATCAGGGATTCCTATAAGCGGGATCCTGCACGTGGCTGAGGATCATCGGCCAGGCCAGTCCAGGAATATCCTAATCCTATGGTAGCTCAGACAAACTGCCGATATCAAAGGCCAATACAGAATAGCTTGGGGAGAAGCTTATCCTCGTCGGTTGCATTGAGAGAATTGGGGGACAGCCACGAAAAGGATTACAGAGACGGACGGAATTGGTGGGTGTTGTTTTGCTGCGACCAAACAAAGGGAGGGACAACCAAGAGGAAAGGAAAATTCACAGCTCACCTGTTACAGCTTTTGAATGCCTTGGTCTTGCAAGGTCACACCACGGCAGCTTGTCGCCTATTCACTTTCACTTGCCTACTCTTGAGACGGCTAGCAGTTGCTAATTGGGTTTTAACCGCTCCCAATCGCTTCACCCCGAACAGGGTCTGACTGAGCCAAGAGCTGGAGGCTCAAGCGCAATCGCTATTCCCAGGGCACAAGCACGCAAGTTGCTTAACCCGTTGGGACCGGCAGGTGACGCGGTACGAGGTTCGTGAGACGAGCGTGGTTACACGTTGTTGCTGTGTCCTGCTTCTGGCGGTAGAATTGCCTGCCAAAATGAGATTGGCTGATGGGAGATGATGGCGCTGAATCTTTTTGGCGCAAGAACTTTGGCGCGATTCCGGTGTCTTGAGCAGAACGTTAAAGGGTAGTGCGAATGGGATTTGATATTACTGAGAAGCCTGGGCGTTCACCGAGGTCCTTGATGGTACAGGCGATCTTTCACTCTGAGATATTGTCTGGAATTGATGCTCTCAGGTGAATGCGCGTTCTGGTCGTGCTACCGTTTAGCACAATCCCGTTTTATTTCCAGCAACGGCCAAGGTACCTTAGTAACGGAGTGGCGACCGTTACGTACACTACTATCCGGCTTCCTCAACGGCATCAATACGTATTAACATACCTAGGTAGGTATGTTCTCTCAGGCTCTTTATTTTAAGGAAGGTTTTGAGGGTGAAATCTCCAAGCAAATGTATATTTTCTTACTGTTTAACATGGCTCGATGGCGAGACTCCAACATCATACAGGGACTTACCTACTACCTTAGTACCTAGTAGGTAATCTGGTAAGTAAGGTACCTAAGGTACATGCCAACATAAGGTACTAAGCAGGTGACGGGAGGTAGGTTAGTAGGTACCAAATAAGGTACCTAAGTACTGCCTAAAGGGTCTAGGTAGACTCCACCGTCATCAGCAGGAGGACCGAGGCATGTGTCTGACCTCGCCGAACCTTGCCTACACCTCGGAAACCACAAACATTTCCCTTCCATCATCTACCTTAATTCAACGTTTCCGTTAACTAATGTTCCAGTCTTGTAACTATTCGCGTGACACTATCAAACATGAGCGACTCAGATTCTGATCCAGCCATCCCAGCCTGGCAGAAGGCGCAATCCGATGAGATCGATAGCCAAAACACCGAATCGGCCCCGACGCCATCCGTGAGCAGCTCAACATCAGAAGTCGATGCGCCAGCGGCAGAAGCAACAGCAGAAGAGACACCCCAGCCGGAAATTGACACAGACGGTCAAGAAAGACTCGAGGTTGCAAGACGCTTTCTCGAGAATGACGGTGTGCGACACGCGCCTCATGAGAAGAAGGTCGAGTTCTTGAAGTCCAAAGGCATTGACGAAGCCGAAATACACGCGCTTCTTGGTCAAGACGAATCCACAACAGAGACAGAGGTTTCTATTACTTCTTATCTTGCTCCCATATACTATGCTGACAATTTCAAGGCGCCAATCCCAGAAACACCTAATTCTTTTGCTCCAACACCAACCGAAACTCTCCCTCCAACACCAGCTTCCCATCCGCCCGTCGACCGACCCCCAGTGGTCACGTACCCTGAATTCCTTACGAAGGCACCCCGCCCTCCTCCGCTAGTTACAAAGGAGCGTCTCTTCAACGCTCTTTACGCAGTCACTGGCCTTTCCACCCTCATCTATGGGACAAGTCGCTACGTTATTCGGCCTATGGTTGACAGTCAGGCCGAAGCCCGTACAGATTTCCACGATCTGACCTCGCGAAAACTCGATACCCTCGTCGCAAAGCTTGAAAAGACCGTCTCCGAGGTTCCCCCCAAGAAACCCATCGCCGCAGTTGAGGAGGAGAGCGATGCTGAAGACCCTACAGAGATGTTCCACAGGGACATGGGCACTCAAACCACATTCCCCATAAGCTCTGTGACAGCTATGACAGACTCTAAGAATAACGAGTCGGCTGCCAAACACAACACCAATCAACTCGGTAGCTTGAACAAGACTCTTTCTGGCCTGAAGGATGAATACCGTTCCCAGAGCGAAGGCATGGATAAGATCAAAACTGCTGTTGATATGCTACGGGATGACCTTGACACAATGACATACACTGCGTACCCCGATCACAGTACTGGCTATGACCTGTACGGCCGCTCACGCAAACCTGAACCAGATGACGAAATCCGCAAGGTGCGGGATAACATCCGGCGTGTGAAGGGAGTCTTGCTGAGCACGAGAAACTTCCCTGCCTCGGCAAGATGATTTATTTCTGAAACCAGGCTATGAAAATGGCAATCCGTATCATCTGTGTCACTCTCGGAAAAGCTTTCATAATGTACATTTAGTCTTTACAGTACGCTATCGTCATACTTAAGCATACCAATATACCCCCTACACATCCATCCGTCATGGTATCACGTAGAAGTGAACTCCTCCATGTGGTATCCCCTATGTTCTTGCCTCCTTACCTCTTTTCTTTGAGCCCACATCGGGTCGCTCAGGGACTTCGATGAGGTGTTTCGAGAAAAAGGCTGGCCACTGCATAACCCTAATATGCTCGAAACCACGGCCTTCTTTTACCTGCTCATCGTACCACTCCAGGGTTGGTCTGAAGACAAAATTCATCGTTCTTCCACGGTATCCTTCACTCCTTTTATTTGCGCAATGCATAAAGAGGCGGTTTTTGCATCTGGTCGGCCGATCCATATTCTTCCCACGAGGAGCATGGAAGACAATCTTCAGGTCCTCATCTGCGGCATCAACTGTCCCCGTAGGTTCATCAACGTCCATTGCATCTGGAGAGGATGGCCGTGATCTGATGGGCGCATTTCCTGACTTGACTTCCCTCCATCCCTGAGTCATCATTGCTGGCAGTACGGCTGGAATAGATTCCCTCAGATTCTTCATAAGATGCTGAAGCTGGTGGATAGTAATATCGACAGGGTCTGTCAACCCCTGTGGAATCACATCTGGCCCCCTAATCCATACTTTCCTCAGTGGCAGTTTGTTGTGAGGCCCTTCAGCAAGCCGTATCATTTCGCGTTGTGCTTCAATAAGTTGCCCATCGTAAACGTATGGATCATTGTCCGGCATTTTCATCACAGGATCCCATATTACCAACTCCATAGCATGCCAAGGTTTCTTGGCTACATCAACAGGTCTGTATACAGCAATCCACGGCCGTCGATTCTTGTTAGTGGTTTCTCGATTGTCGCCGTACTTCCAGGATCCCTCAATCGTGTAGCAGAAGGCCACGCCAGTATTGATAAAGGGGTGGCCATGAATTCTTCCGTTGAAATAGCGAAGACATCTATCGTATGTATCGAACTCGGAAAAGCCATGTGCCATATCGATATTCCAGTAAGAGACGGGGCGATTAAAGACTGTTTGCGGGCCCCAGTCCCTGTCCCGAATATCGCTTTCCAGTTGTCCTAGGAAGCGCTTGAAGGATACCCCGTCATCGCGGGGGACTAAGTGCAGTCTTCTCTGAGGTGCTCTCTCCATAGCTGACTGATTCTGCGCGACAAGGGAGGAGGCGGCAGGGTTGACTTTTCCCCAAATATCGTCTGGATTACCCAACGTTGAGGGAGTATATTCGGGGATCCGGATTTGGTGAGTGAGCCTCTGGATGCCAGCATCAGGGCTTGATCCAAGCACGGTGAAATGCCGATACTGGTCTAAATTCAGAATAGACCACCACCCAAACCAGTTGACAAGACTCTGCTCATCGTTGCCATCAATCGAATCAGGGGCGAACACCACAATTGATTGATCATCGTCTAAAGGTCCTACCAGCCCTCTGACATGTTGCAAGCACTTAAAAAGAGCATCGATTTCTTTCTCGGCTGTCGCCTTGTCCTCTTCGCGTACTCGGGTACTTCCTAGACGCGTCTCCCAGTCTTCCTTGACCATAACAGCTACCTCGTGAATCCAGTTCTCAAAGTCGGCACATACGATGAGCGTAAAAGCACCGCGATGTTGCTGCCAATATTTGTAAGCCCACTTGAAGAAAGCCCAGGCCTGCTGAGGCTGTGAGATAACAAAACTGGGAGTAACTAATACAGCTTTCTTCTGTCCGCAGATAGTTTGCAGAGTGACATCCCCGATCCGGGATGGTTGGCCAAGAGAGGGATAAAAGGGCGCAGGTTGCAGAGATATGGAAAAGAGGCGGAAATTGAAGTTTGGCACGTCGTGAAGGACAGTCCAGACTGAAGGAAACAGCCGCGTAGCCCATATTGCCTCTTCATGCACGATGACTACGCCTTGGTCTAGCTTCCTGAAGCTAGCCCAGTGTCCGGCGGTGAGGCTAGAAAGCAACCTACACTGAGGGTTGCAGCTTCGCAGCCATCCGCTCAGAAAGTGAGCTTCTTCCACAGCGTTCATTGGAAATACCAGGAAAAAGTTGTGGTTGCTATAATCCATGAGGGCCTTTTCTGGTAGTAATTGCTCGTACTGGAATCCCAAAAGCCGGTTGAAAACTGTCGGTATCATTTGTGGCAGAACGTCGCCACCGCCAACGCCCTCTGGAAGAACAATCGGCGCAAGCGAGCGCGTTGTCAGGTGAGGAGAAGACCGAAACAAGTAATAATGTAGCAACACAGACTCTTTGAACGATGCATAAAGGAAGATGCACAGTTCTTGGTGATATAAGAGGACCCCAACAGACCTTACACAGAGCCAATTCGCAACTGTAGCCAAGCTATCAGGGTCGCCAATGCTTGTCACTGAGCCGGTACCCAGCTTAGCAGCAGTCAGAGCAGTCTCTTGAGACCAGAAGTCCCGCGTCGTACAAGAGTGTGTGAAGATTAGGATGGGGTGCTGTTCAAAGATACCCGACCAAGGCTGCCCATTCTGATCCTCGTCTCTTTCAAAAATAACCGAGAATGTTTCCCGACTTCCTGGGCCAAACTGCACCTCCGTGGTGATGGACTTGTTAGAAGAGCTCGATTCATCGTTCATAACAGGGGCTCTCCCAGCCCAACATTCTTGGTTGTCTGAAGCCTTTGTCTGGAAAGTCGACTCGGATTGTGGCCCAGTGTTTTTCTGGGCTTCACGGCAGTCATCTTCTATTTTAATTGGGGTCGTCGCTCGAATAAGAGAATCCTCGCGTAAGAAGAGACTTTCCTCTCTCTCTCCACGGGCGGGTATCGTTGCCTCTTCAACGGTGCCCCAACTAATTGACTTCTTGGGCCTTGACTTTTGGGTCTCGGGGATGATTTCAGTAGAGTTCTTGTTTTGTCCGAGGGGTTTAACTGTTTCGTTCGGGATTTCGGGACGCAGCGGTAAGGCATTCAGGCCGTTGATAGATCGCTCTGCTGGGTTCAGAGAGATGAGATCTGTCGGTAGTCTTGCAGGTGCAGCGCTTTCTCTGTCACGACCTGCTTTTTGTATGAGATTCACATACCTTGGCTTCAAGAGTTTCGACTGTTTGGTGGAATCTTTAGCAGCTTCGGCGAGAGTCGTGCGCTGCTTTCTCACTGTGCCCCCTGAAAATACATTTCCTGTGAAGGCTTGCGCAGGCCGGGTCTTGCGAGCCTTTGTCGGTTGCCCCTTGCGTAGGTGACTATCGGTCCGCTTTATCAGTCCACGAACGCCGAACTTTGATGACAAGAGATTGCTTGAAGCCACCGGCTTTTGTAGTGGTCTCTTATTATCAACAAGGACTTTGCTTGGTTGCCGTCGCAGTGGTGGCTTCTGGCTGGTTGAGGGTGTGAATGAGGCTGTAGTTGTAGTCGCAGCTGAGTTCATTGGCGGTCGTGAAGGATGATGGACAGATGCTATGCTGTTTTGACGACTACTTTTTGGCGAACTATCTTCACTCAAGCTTACGGAAGCTCTTTGTGTTTTGTCGAAAGAGTGTTGTGACAGTTGTCCGACCTCAACATCCATATCAATGTCTGTGGCTACCGACGGACTAGAGACGACAGAACCGCTGGGCTCTTCGCCATCCGGAAATCGATCAGCCCATTTCAGATGATCTTCCATCTCCATGAACGAGGTTTCCTCTTCGCCTCTCAGCTTTCTGCGTCGATTTCTTTCCTGATGGCGGTCGAGCTTGGCAGCATATTTGGACTTGACAGCATTCTTCCAATCTCGAATGTTCTTGAACATGTCAAAATCATCCCGCGATTTTGTTTTCTCCCAACCTTCCAGGAGGGCATTGCTCAGATTTTCTACAGGCTCCCATGTTGCCTCGCACAAGTCAAAATTCTCCCATTCGATGAGATATCTTGGTAGGCCATCAATAGGCCATTCGGCCAAGATTTCATTAACGTTCCACTCTTCGTCGGAGTCGTGCTCACTGACGATTGTCGAGACTATTGATTCATTATCGGAGTCATCCATCTTGGCATCTTTTGGCGTATGCTCTTCATGTGTATCATAAGGTACAACCTCCAAGAGCCGCTGATGTTACTCTCCCACTCTTAGGAAGAAATGAAGTCAGTCGTGGTTTTGCAATGAACAAGGTGGGGAAGTCAAACTCACTGAGGTATACGGTTGAGTATGTTCCGTACTGAATAGAGTTGACCTGAGATTTCGTGAGTTTGTTGTTTATTGACGCCTTGACGCGATGAATGAAGTCCCAAATTTGTATGGCCAGGCCTAACTTCGGTGAGGTGAGGGAGAAATTATAGGAATGAAACGAGATGACGGGCCGGTCTTGATCTCTTCTTTTCTCCGTTCTCTACGGAGTAACATTTCAGGTAATAGGTAAGCTACCTAAGGTACCTAGGTCAGAGCTTCACTGGGGCTGGGCGCGTGTGGGACTGGCTTGGCCTGGGCTGCCTGGAAAGTGCTAGCCAGGTCGCGAGATCACGTGAGTGACTTAGTTCATCGGCGTCTTTGTTCATCCCTTATCTAATGCACCTTAGGCGCGGCTACAAAATTTAAATAAATCCCATTTACAACTTGGAGAGCAGATTATCTGCATGGGCAAGTGCTTTACCAGAGACTCCTATCATCGTCAGTAGATGTGTCAGCCCTAAATCCTTATTCTTTTCCGTGCTTCGGATTCATTTGCACTCTCCCCTGCTTGTCTACATAGATATGGAGCCTAACCTAGACCCTGACTTCATCGACACCATCCACCTGTTTGTTTGGCTTTAAACGTCCAATAACGACTCGAATCTTGCTGGGAGCATCCATACGGCATGCTGATCAAACTCTCGGCATCTTCGTTGTCAAGAAGTAGGGTTCGGTCGTATTGTCTACCCACAATAAACTAGGTACCTTAGTAGCATGACAAGCTGGAAGCAGAAGCCAGGTGGACATATTTCTAGCACCCATCACTTCATGATTTCGAAATCAAGAAGAGCGGCCAACTTCCAGAGATGCCTTGGCTTCTCATTTAAATCATTAATAATGATTATAAAGTGTTCTGATGACCTATATGGTGCTCCTAACACATGAAAGAGGGCAAGGGCCAGGTTACAAGAATGTGCATTGAAACTACATCATAATATGCGACCAGGTTTGTAAGGAGTATCGGGTTCAAAGCAAAAAGATACTGCATATCTGAAAGCGGTCAGCGATCAATTTGTAGGTTGCAATGAGCGAGCGATATTGATGCGGTTAGTCCTATCCCAGGAGGCGCGAAAACCCAGCTATACGGGGAGATATAGATGATGCAGCCATCCTTCTAAGATGCATCATGCGATTACTAGTCCTGGCCTATCACATCAGAATGTGTCCGGATTCGGTAGCTGACAATTACATCTACGACTTGGAGCCTCCTTTGTCGTTGCCTATTCCATCCATTAATATTAAGTTGGCAAATTACACACTAAGGCACACAAGGTAGCTCTGACCAACAATCTACTCGAGAACAGCCATTTTTGGGGACAGGTTGCATTCCCTTGATTTCTTATACTGGAACCTAGCAGTGATGCGAACAGCACTACTTTCGCTACCTGGCCACAGTGGCAGAGTGGGTGTCTTTGTGCGACCGCTATGTGGCTGCCTCCACTAACAAAGAGGCGTCTAATCCTAGGTAGGCTCCCGGCTCCCCCCTACCTAAAAACATAGGCAGCTCCAGTTAGCAGTCTTACCCCTCGGCACGGGGGACTGGACGTCGAGGTACAAACAACCGCCTATCGCCAGAGCCGCGCATTCTCTCCCTCTCCACATCCCAAACCTCAACGACGTCGACTAAGGTTGCCTTTCTCGCAGCGCCAGCGCACTCGCCTTCAACCTCACCCTCATCTTCGATACACCAACTTGGTTCCTCTCAGTAATATACCTGAAGCAACACCACCGTAGTCATGGCCAACGACGAATATGATGTACGTCTTGCCCCTCTCCCTACCCTCCTTAGCATTTCATGTCCCGCCAGTTGCTGACCTGTGGGCCCCCTTTGCAGTTCCTCTTCAAAGGTGCCGTCATTACCATCTCTCAAAGGCCACGCCTGGTCCGACGTTTGCGACCGCCCCTTACTGACATTGTGAACCTGCAGTCGTCCTGATCGGAGACTCTGGAGTCGGAAAGTCCAACCTTCTCAGTCGATTCACCCGCAATGAGTTCAACCTAGACTCAAAGTCGACCATCGGTGTCGAGTTCGCCACCAGATCTATCCAGGTCGACTCAAAGACAATCAAGGCCCAGATTTGGGATACCGCTGGCCAAGAGCGATACCGCGCCATCACTTCCGCCTACTACCGAGGTGCTGTCGGCGCTCTCCTCGTTTACGACATCAGCAAGCACCAGACCTACGAGAACGTCACACGATGGCTCAAGGAGTTGCGGGACCATGCCGACGCCAACATTGTCATTATGCTGGTTGGAAACAAGAGTGATTTGCGACACCTGAGGGCTGTTCCCACAGAGGAGGCCAAGTCTTTTGCTAGTACGAAAATCCTACCCAATTTGACCCAGGAGGGTCCCTCTTACTGACACTTTTGCAGGCGAGAACCACCTGTCCTTTATCGAGACGTCTGCCCTTGATGCCAGCAACGTCGAACTTGCATTCCAGAACATTCTGACTGGTTCGTTGTTCACCCAATTTCTTCAACCTATCTGTGGCTTGAACTGACAATATGGACAGAAATTTATCGCATTGTTTCAAGCAAGGCCCTCGACAGTGGTGACAGCGCCCAGGCCACCATAGGCGCAGGCACCAATATCTCCCTGAGCAAGCCTGCCGACGACGATGCTGCCAAGGGCGGAAAGTGCTGTTAAATTCCTCGCAGAGCCGTTTGCAGACGGATATAGGGCTTTGGGGGTTTGGGATACCTGGCGTCTCGTTTGTCCCCGAAAATGCTCCTCGCTAAAGGAGAGTGGAGGAGGCGAGGAATCGTGATACGTCTTTTTTTGATATCAGAAGGCGCGGTTACTTCGGCTTTCCTTTGTTCTTATTTTTTGTCATGATGGTTGTCTTGGGGTTGATGCGTCCAACGATCGCTGCGACACGGTTATCTTAACGTAGCTGAATGAATTCTTTATAATGTTCGCCCTCTAATGAGCTGTACCTCTGTGCCTCTATACCTAGGTACTTTCTCCACCACCTCGCATGTACCGCATTCGAATTAAACGCCGCAATCAATGTATGCCTACACGTCATGCTGATCAGAGCCGACCGGACTTAAACAGGTACTGGCACTGTGGGTTGGTATCGAATTCATTTGCTACCTTAGGTAGTAGCTTAGTACATAGTGTACAGCTCGTTCCCAGGGTCTTCGGGTAGCGGGGCAATCCTCATCCAACTCATCACCTTGGATGCAGTCCTTAATTAGGTACCGATAGATATTTCCCTGAAGTAATGGGCGGGCTATCGTTCTACTACTAGGCATGGTCCGATCTACTCTACTTATCCATCTCACGCAATGCATTCACAAGGCTTAGATTAAAGCTTTCTGAGTGGCTCTGCCTGTCTGCTTCAGAAAACATGTGCTACTGCATATCCCCTCCTCGGGGGGCAAGAAAACACCGGGCCTTGATATGAGGTGTCAAAATAAACTCAGCAAAAGATACCCTAAACTTATGTAAAGTTAGTTACCCAAGTCCTTTTGTCATTTAGGATTAAGGTCCTGAGTTTTCTTTCCTCCCCTAGTCCCCTTGGGACGGCTTGTCTCGACTGCTAGAGCGGTGTCGCGGCCCCACCTTGATACCTCCAGTACACCCACTCTCTTATCGCGACCTTTCAAGTCTTATCGAGACTCAGCCGACTAAATTTTTTTGGAAAATTGTCCGCCGCGTCGCAAAGCCTGGCCCAGTAAAATCATCACCAAGTCAACATAGCTTTTTTGATAATTGATCCCAATCGCAACGTCGGGATTCATTCAAGATGGCTGCTGTCTACAAGTCTATCTCCAAGTCCAGCACTACAAAGGTCGAGGCGCCTAGCAATGGCGTTAAGAAGAACAAGCAGAGGGTTCTGATCCTCTCTTCTAGAGGCGTCACTTACCGGTAAGCAATTCCACGACTCGGATGTAGGGCGCATTCCGCTAACATTGCTATTCTTCTCAAGACATCGTCACCTTCTAAACGACATTGCAGCAATGCTCCCCCACAGCCGAAAAGATGCAAAATTCGACTCCAAGACAAAGCTGTACGAACTGAACGAGCTGGCCGAGCTCTACAACTGCAACAACGTGCTCTTCTTCGAGGCAAGGAAGGGCAAGGATCTGTATGTTTGGCTTAGCAAAGTCCCTAACGGGCCTACCATCAAGTTCCACCTCCAGAACTGTAAGAGTTGACACCAGACGACGCTTTTATCCAGGCTAACACCAAACAGTGCACACCATGGAGGAACTTCACTTCACCGGCAACTGTCTCAAGGGGTCGCGGCCCGTTCTCTCCTTCGACGGCGCTTTCGACAAGCAGCCTCACCTCCGGGTGATCAAGGAGCTCTTCCTCCACACCTTCGGCGTACCCCAGGGCGCAAGAAAATCCAAGCCTTTTATCGACCACGTTATGGGATTCAGCTTTGTCGATGGCAAGATCTGGGTTCGCAACTATCAAATCAACGAGGTCGAGGCGACAGCCAAGGAGGGTGAAGAAGAGGAAGAGACCACCAAGTCTCGATCTGGCAAGCCTGATACCGATATCAACCTGGTCGAGATCGGTCCACGATTCGTCTTGACGCCTATCGTGATCCAGGAGGGCTCTTTCGGTGGGCCTATTATCTATGAAAACAAGGAGTTTGTGTCACCAAACCAGGTCCGAGCCGATATTCGAAGGACAAAGGCTTCGCGACACAACGCCCGCGCAGAGAAAGAGGTGGAGAGACGGGTCAGGAAGGGCGACCTTGGACTGCGATCTGTTGGCGGCCAGCGACCGGCCAAGGATGAGCTGGATACCAAGATGTTGTTCGCCTAAACCTTTTGATMCCTTMCCTGCCGATATAACCAAGTACTTACTGGCTTGATCCATTGGATCTGAACACCGGGACGGGGTGTTGGAGTTTTAGGTCATACTGCGTTTTTATTTGCCAAAAGAGAGAATATTATACTTGAGTTACCGCTAACGATGCCATTCGTCTTATTTCGTCCTCCCTGATTGTACCCCCCGGTCAATCACCTGGTTACAAAGTAATCAAAAGAACTAAGTTTCAGATCAGGGTTGTCAGGTTCTGAGGGCCAGGTATCGCATCATCACTTAGCCCGCCCGGATGAAACTCGGCAGATTGTTATCAGTGCGTAACCCAAGTCGCGACCTTGTCATAACCTATATCAATCGACCCCCTTTCCTTCTTCATCCTCATCCTCGCTGTATATTCAATCAGTGCATTTTGCAGACGAGCATTGCACTTGAATACAGCCATGAGAATCACAGTTACCCAAAAACCGATGCCTGTGTGCATCTCTACTTCCGTCACAAGCCCCAGTGCCGGGGTGACTGAACAATAAGCCCCGGATCATTGATGCTTTAGGTGACTCAACAGTGGGATCCCTTGAAGCGACGAGGGCCAAGCTGCTCTTATAACAACAACTTTCTTACATCAACTCTCTTCCGGTGAAGGTGGGTACAATTTGAGGATACAGCGACTTGATTTTCTTAAATCTTGGCTCCCCGACACCGTATTGCAAGTAAACAAAATGCAAAGTCCATCAGGTCCGTTATTTTCTTCTCCTTTCCAGGCATAATTTTATGCCTAACTTCCTTATAGCACCCGTCAAATCGGCGACTCTGGTTCTGTAGTGAGATTGTATAATCGCGTACGTGGTGTACAGACGAGGACCGTTGCTGTCCACTTTACCTGCAAATATTTTGTACACTCCAAAACCCAATCCTTACAATTCGACCGAATATTTTACCCTCTATCCTCAAGCCCTTTATATAAGACGTCCGATCATGTTAACATCTGTTAACATGGCGCCGAAGATGTCCAAAAACCATTGCCTTACTGGGCTTCCAACTGAGATCCTTTTGGACATATATCAACAACTAGACCTAGATGGTGTTTTCAACCTTTGCGCCACTCATAGGACGCTACATGAACTCTTCGACAAGAGAAAGGCCTCAATCTTGCTTCCTGTCCTTGTCAGGGAGTTCAGCCCCTTTGATGAGCTCCTTCAGGTTTATACGGCCTCAGTTGAGGATCTCGATTCCCGCGGTGGACTGTATGCTCCACGCAGAGTCGTGTTTAAACGATTCCTTGGAGACACTGGAGTGGTGTTAGCTCCGCGTCCAGAGCATCAGCCTACTGTGTCAGTGGACGCTGTTGAAGGATTCATCACGCTGAACAAGCTAGGCAAACCTATTATACCCCGCGCTCAACCACTGAAAACCGTTGTTCTGACTGTGAAGGATCTGAAGCCACTTCTCAGCTACTGTTCTCTTGTACTGAGATGGCAAGCCAGGTTCCCTCAGATGAGATGGTTTCACGAGCCTGAGAATTGTCGTCTGCTTCGCGAGCACGAGGCTGAAAGGTTCCGCAGAGCCATGTATCGATGGTGGCTCTATGGTTTCTACTTCCACGGAGACTTCCCCCGACCTCGTGTTGGCCTTCCAGAGCCTGGTGTGGATGACGTTAGACTGAGTCAACTTCGATTATACTCCACAGGCGAGCTGGTAGAGCTGATGGATCTGGTTGAAACCATGAAGGATGTCGTGCTCCACTATCTCTGCCCACGGCTTGACCCTAGTCAAGACGAATATGTAAGTTCGCACTTAGACTTTCGGGGTTCGTTACTGACATACCATTAGGAGGGCTGCGATTCGTATCTTCATGATGTTGTCGACCGACCTGGCTCCTTGGCAAGAGGCTGGCGGGATCAGAGTCGTTGGGGCCGTATCGTAAAGACTTACTGCAAACTTGGCCCTAAAGATCTCCTGCATCTATTTGAGAACATCTATAGCTACCCTAGAAAACGCCTTATTACTGAAGCTCGGTCTCTTCAACCGAATCTCACTTTCGACCAAGAATCTATCTCGGTGTCAACACAATGTGTCCTGGATGAGCGACAGTGGTCCTTGAACATGCCTACCTTGCCTCTGGATGGCCTAGGAGGTGTGATTGACTGGGATGATGAGCGCGACGCTGAACGCGTCAAGTTTGGAAGTGATGCTAGTCTGGATGGGACATTGCCAGGGGGTGCTCGGATGCTTCGGTCTTCATCTCACTATTCGCCTCGCGGGGATGATGGATCTTATCTAGAAGATGTCCAACGACAGACAAGGATGGAGGGTAGGTATATGGTTTCGTTCGCTTAGGCATGAGTGCCTTGTCGTCAATAGACATGCTCTCGTTCCTCTGGTTAACCTTGGAGTTTATGAATTGTGGCAGTATTCGCTGGAGCACTTACTACATGTGGATCGTCAGATGTGGTCGCAATTAAGTCCGAGGCTTCTCACTATTAGAAATGGATTCCCCGGTTGAGTACATGGCCGTGGTGTCTCCTGAATTGCCTAATGTTAAATGCTGCTTTCTCACCTGTGCATTAACTTGGTACCTTGCCCACTCGACTGTGAATTACCAGTACTGCTGTTGTTACATATGTACTATCTGTAGGATCTGAGATGTAGTCGCAGCCCAAACCAACGATTCATTGCCAGCAAAAACATAAAGAACAATGTCCTTTCGACCCAAGGTATGGGTCAAAGAAGGAAGTTTCAACTGTTTGCAGCCAAGCAGTAGCCCCCACTGCTAGGCAGTAGGTAACTTAGAAAGTTAGGTGCCTTATCGATGGAGGTCGGCCGCTGGTCACTCAGCGGCCAGTAGCGCCTGAAACCATAGGGGAGCCCGCACGCCAAAATCAACCTCCACAGCTGAGCCTCACTTCTCCTTCCACTCCATCTCATACATCTAATCTCAAAGCTAATATCAACCACCGCGATTAAACACGATCGCGCATCTCAACCCACCACTCAGCATTGGACTTACTCATATCTCAGCTCTCTAGAACCTCACTATAAGAGCCTAGCGTATGTTCTCACGTCTTTACAACCTCTCCTCGCTGTTGCGATCGCGCCATACTTAGCAGGGGTAAGTGAAGTGTTTTGTTCGTGTTGGCATCATCATCTTTCATATCCTTTTTAAGTGCTTTGATGCACTCAGCTCCACAGACCTAGGCAGAATGCCCTTGCATGTGCCTGAGAGCCAGGTAGATCAAGAATCTTGTGCGCTTGTGCGAACAATGGCCAGCCGTATGTCATTTTGGCTCATGTAATTCACTAACGCAATTTACCTTTGTCCTCGAGCACCTCCTTTGTTTACCTAGACAATGATGGTCAGCAATTGTTTGTAAACTCGACCATAAACTTTCTAACTTGTGTATAGATCCATCTGCTAGTGTTTATTTACTCCGTCAATCCATAGGCCTTGGTTCTCCCAAGTATATTCGCAACTCCTGGGGTCGTCAGACCTTCAGTGAGGATATTGGAGATTATCTGCCATGGATACAAGTATCACAGATGCTGTTGATCATCCAATGAAGGATGCAGAAGCGCCTAATGGGTTCAACCGCACTAGCAACACCAGTATCGACGACGATGACACGGCGTCTGAGGATCCATGCGAGGCCGATGAAGATCCACCACCTCAAGATATAACCTTCGATCAGATGCGTCGTAGAGGTTTGCTGCCAACAGGCTGTTGTTATGATGACCGGATGAAGTTGCATATGAATGCGGACTTTTCACCCAACGCACATCATCCTGAAGATCCCCGTCGTATCCACGAGATATTCAAGGCATTCAAGAAGGTTGGCCTCGTCTATACAGGTCCCGAGGCAGAGTTGCCAAGAATTATGCGGGAGTGTCCCACGCGTTATATGTGGCGCATACCTGCTCGTGCTGCCACCCGAGAGGAGATTTGCCTCGCCCATCATCCTGATCACTTTAGCTGGGTGGAAAACCTTGACAAGATAAGTTCGGTCGAGCTTCGAGAACTGACTAGGCAATATGACCAAGGGCGGGAATCTCTCTATGTTGGTAGTATGTCTTACCAGGCCGCCCTACTTTCAGCCGGGGGAGCCATCGAAACCTGCAAGAACGTCGTGACTGGTCAAGTCAAGAACGCATTCGCCGTGATCAGGCCACCAGGTCACCACGCAGAGTTTGATGCGCCAATGGGTTTTTGTTTCTTCAACAACGTCCCAGTGGCAGTCAGGGTCTGCCAACAGGACTATCCAGACATTTGCCGGAAGGTTCTCATCCTGGATTGGGATGTTCACCATGGTAATGGTGTCCAAAATATTTTCTATCAGGACCCAAACGTCTTATATATCTCTCTCCATGTCTACCAAAACGGTCTCTTCTATCCCGGTAAACCCCCAAATGATATGACGCCAGATGGTGGAATCGACAAATGCGGAACGGATGCTGGCCTTGGTAAAAACATCAATATCGGCTGGCATGACCAAGGCATGGGTGACGGGGAATACATGGCGGCATTCCAAAAGATTGTGATGCCTATCGCCAAAGAGTTTAATCCGGACCTCGTGGTTATCTCTGCGGGATTTGATGCTGCTGATGGCGATGAACTAGGGGGCTGCTTCGTTTCTCCCAGTTGCTACGCTCATATGACACACATGTTGATGTCCTTGGCTGACGGAAAGGTTGCAGTGTGTCTAGAGGGAGGCTACAATCTTAAGGCTATCTCGGTGTCTGCAGTGGCCGTTGCGAAGACGCTCATGGGTGAACCGCCGCCAAAGATGGAAATTCCTAAGATCAATAAGGAGGCTGCACGCATACTTGCCAAAGTCCAAGCTCATCAGGCCCCATATTGGGAGTGTATGAGGGCAGGCATCGTTCGCATTCCTACCGACATCCAGCCAACGATATCCAGCCGTCTACATGACGTGATCAGAAACGCCCAGAGACAGGTTCTGCAAGCAAAGCACAACATGATACCTCTCTACATCCAGCGCGAACATCTATACAAGTCATATGAGAACCAGGTCTTAGTGACACCAGGCCTCCATCAGGAAAAGAAGGTTCTCATTATCATTCACGATCCGTAAGTCAATTGCATGAGGAGAGGGCTATAACTTGGGCCTTGACTACTGACATCATCTCTTAGTCCTGAGCTTCTCGCTCAGCCGGATGTTATAGACAGATCTGTCGACCCTCACAATGCCTGGGTGGTGAGTAGATATTATTCATAGTAAGCGATGCAAGAACTGATAAGAATAGGTTGATGGTGTAACGGATTACATTGACTGGGCAGTGGATCAAAAGTTCGGTGTCATGGACGTTAATATCCCAGCCTATGTCACCCACGACGAGGTCCGTGATCATATTCATAAGTAGTGGCTGATCTCTAACCGTTGGTATAGGAATCCGAGTCTTATGTACCTGGTTTCAAAGAGAAGGCTCTCTCGGAACAGATCCAGACGTTGGTGTGTTACCTGTGGGACAATTACTTGCAGCTTTATGATGCCGATCACATTTTCTTCATGGGCGTTGGCAATGCATATCTTGGAGTCAAAGTCCTGCTCCTAAACCGAGGTAAGTCGACTAGCTGCTACGAGCCTCTATATCAAATTTCTGAAACGAAATAGATTGCAAGTCAAGAATCTCTGGGGTCGTAAACTTTGCCAACGGAACGCTCAGGCCAGTCAAGTCAGAGTTTGATTCAGATCTATCATCGTGGTATAAAGAGAACTCACGAGTCTACATTGCAGGCGATCATGCATGCTGGGCTGATCCTGATCTGACTCGAAAAGTCAACAAGCGGCGCTTCGGGACAGTCGTTCGTAGCCCAATGTTTGGTCTGAACAAGATGATGGCGCATCACGCCAAGGAGGCGCGGGAGTGGATCCTCGAGAGGGTCGAAGAAGTAGCAGATGCCGATATGACTGAAGATGAAAAGTCATAGATGCGGTCTCGGCAACGATGTTAGTTACAAGTTAGGAGAAGCTCGGTGTTCCCTTGTATAGGGGTAATGTTCTTGCTCTAGCAGGTCTTATGAGTAGTGCAACCAGAGATAGAGTCTGTTTTCCTTACGTGTGTTATTTATTATATACCTATAGGCAGCGCCTTTGTACCAGTGTCATATTTATCACCTATGGAAGTCATAATAACTGTCGCACGAATACGACCTGTTGTGTTCCCGGTCTTGAAGCAATACAGTGTGAGTAGTATGTGTATGTATTCAACGACACTGTATTTATCTGCTATCGGATCAATGTTAGTACCTAGGTACTACGGAGTACTACCTGTTAGGTAAGGTAGTAGATACCTTAGTAGCTAAGGTAGGCAGTCACGGAAGTCGGGATGCTGAATCTCCGACCTCCCTGCTTTGGTCTTCGATTTTTGGAAGCTCCACTGACCCAACTTGCGACTCGCACGCGTGCTTGCGCTTTCATAAAGCCAAATCACAACGCATCGACAGAAGCACTTGCCGTGCATCATATCTATCCTGACTAAGGCAAGAATGGATCGCGACCGAGGTCGAAGGTGAGTCATAATTCGTTTGCTTATATGTATTGCATCTTGCGTTCTTCTTCTTCATCATCATCATCATCATCATCTACGCCTCCCATCCTTTTGCGACACCATTTCGGCATCTCTAGCACCACCCGCAGACACCCTCGAAACACGCTACACGGCAGCCTACCACTTTGAGCAATACGACTTGGTCTACACACGTCTCGTGCTGCGGCCCCGACCCAAACTCTAGAGAATATCGACCAACTGAGCGATCGTGCGATGGCTGGTCATATTGGGATGGAGGAAAGCGGCAGCGACTCTCACGAAGCCATCGAAGATACATCCGAGTTCGAGCAGTCGCCTGGAGAGCTTGTACAGATTGTTCGACGACACTGGGACATTGGCTCTTTTTGGCGGGTCACCTGCGGACGGCAAAGCCATCGTGATGAACTAGGCTATAAACCAATAACGATGGTGGTGACGATCCGGCTACACTCCCATCAACATTTAGCATATCGCTTCGGTATCTCTGGTGTCCGGATTCGTACCCTGGATCAACATGGGAATGCTCATGGGAACGTGTCAGAACTTTTGATCAACCCATGCCAGCCCATACCCTAGGAGATGCTGCTGGGTTCCCACCCATTTTGCCGGCATTTCGTCCTCATCCACAGGCTCGTCACAGCGAGGATGGAGAGCATTGCTGGGAGGACTGATGCTTGGAAGCGCGTCAAGCGACGCTGGCCGTCTTATCATAAGATTTTAGACCGTCCGCTGAAATACCCGAAATTCTGCTAGGATCGCCTGAGGCAGAGTGTACTCCCGCCTTCCTGTTGATCTTGACCGTGGCACAATATTTGGTCTGACCTTTGCCAGAAATTATCATGGATCATGACGGCTCAGCAGGCCACAGTACGCGAATTATACTACGCTCATTCGTCTGTTTCTTTCTTTCTTTACTTTTCTTTACTTTTCTTTCCCTTTCTTTGTTTTCAAAGCGTTCTCTATTTCACACCCACAAAACCTCATGATTCCCACACAAAACACTAACATGAAAATAGGTTTGATGATGGGGAAGTCGTTAGATACGGCGCTGGAGAGTCATGGAGGCCCACTCCTCGAGACCGGTCGCCTAGGCGGGTCAGAAGTCCGGTTAGAGAGCGAGCAAGGACCCCTCGACCTAGAAGTCCACGTCCCCGGAGTCCAATTCCTTCTGGATCCGATAGCTATGTGCCTGGCAGATATCCACCACGTCGTAGGTCGAGAAGTGGAGGAGACCGATACCGGCGAGAGCGATCAAGAGAACGCGAGAGTCCGCGCCGGCGGGAGCGTAGTAGGTCTATGCGGCGGCCGTCTCCTCGACGTAGCTTGTCCCGGAGAATTTCTCCCCCTCGTGGAGCGGATAGATACGAAAGGCCTCGGTCCCCTGCCCCTGCCAGAGATTGGGAACGCGATCGTGAGAGGATCAGAGATCGAGAATGGGACCGTGACAGAGTACGTGATAGGGGACGTGACTTCGAGCGGCGTGACGAAAGGTGAATTTACTTGCCCCGTGTTGATAGCGAGGGGCTAACTGACAGAAGGTGGCGATCTAGGTCTCCATTTGGTGTGATTCGCCGCGACAGAACTCCTCCTGTGCGGTCCCCCGTGACAGGTCCTCGTGGTGGTTCATATAGGCCACGTTCGCGTTCCATTAGTCGACGCGGAAATGACCGATGGCAGTCATACAGGCGCGTCAGCCCCCCGAGAGAATCTGGAATCTCATCTGCGATCACTTCTCAGTCAGCTTCTGGAAGATCCTCACCGCGACCGAGTTCTGCAAGAGCTCGTTCACCACTTCAGTCTCGAGAAGAGTCTCCCCATCATCATGCCATGGCCCCAACAAGGGAGACACCAAGGCCTGGACTTTACGATACAAATACATCAGCCCCTACTCGATCACCGCCACGAGGCCCTGCAGCGCTGAGAGCACCTCCAACCGGCCCGGCAGCAAACAGAAATCCCGCAGGGCCAGTATCTTCGCCAGCCCTGCCTCCTCCCGCTCGGACTCAGACACCTACGGCCCCTCCTCTACGTTCAGGGACCACAAGCCCAACAGTCCCCCCAGCTGGCCCACGAGGTTATGTGCCTCCAGCTAGAGGTGGGTTTGCCCCCCGAGGAGGCAGAGGTGGTTGGAATCAAGCACCAGCAAGACACATTTCAGGACCTTCACCGACTCCTTCAACCCCCAATGGACCTTCAGCTATTCCCACTGGCCCACGTGCGACTCCGTCAAATACATCGTCAGCCACAACAACGACGCAATCTCGACCGTTCAATCCTCCGACTGGGCCATCAGCTCAACATGCTGGTAGCGCACGGCAGACTTTGGCGCAATCCATGCTCGCGACACTACCCCCCATCATCCCCGGCGGCAAGTTGGATCCTTCCATGACGCCTCTCGCTCTTGGCGTAACTCGAGAACTTGAGCCACATTATCGCAAGCTGAAGGACGAGGAGGAAAAGTTGAGAGATGAATTGCACGCGAAGCAAGAGCGGCTACGAAAAAGTCTGTACACGTGGAATAGACTCGAACGTGACTCGCGAGCGTGGGAGATGCGAAGTGACCTGAGCGAGAAGAGCATGAAGAACCTAGCTGGTGAAGGCATGGGTGGTGCCGCATTTTAAAAATATGTGCCACAAGATGTTAGGAACTTGGCGCTCAAGGATTATCGTTTATGCTTGTATGATTGCCAAATATGCAGGAGTAGGTTCCTGTAAGCGTTGCTTCCACTTGCTTCTGGTCATGAGAAATCCCAAGCCTCGGGAGATTTTGATGCTTACATTGGTTCGAGGCGTCCTGCTTGTACAACAGTTGTATGACGAGATAATAATTATGATGAGCCTGTCGTACGTGAATTCAGCCTGGCTATTGCCTTTGGATTGTGAACTATACGAGAGCGTATAATCAGCCTTATAAGGTGCCTCTTTCTTACCTTTTAGTAGTATTTTAGGCCCCATGATAGCCGTGCTCATTTACTGAGGTATCCATCATGCTCACTGACAAGATGCGCCGGTATCTCAAACTCATGGAGATGCCAATATCATAAACACTTGAATGGAGTATAAACTGCATTATAGGTTTCAATTGCATGCAATTTGTCAGCGTGTCGTCTGTCAAATATTCATGAATCTTACGTATGTAGCTATCTCACATTAACTTAAGCCAAACACACCACCCCACACAGTCTCGATAGTACCAAACAAAGCTGCCCTACAAGTCAACGGGGGAAAATCGACAAGTTTGAATTTTACCAACAGTCCACGCGGTGATGGCGACGTAGAGACTGAGCCGTGGCTTCGTCAGACTCTGATTGAACAAGCAATGATACTGTATTCAAGGCCAGATCGAAATTTATACACCTGGACAAGCTTCCAGGTCCTAGACTCGGTTGCCAGATGCCGCAAGACCAAGTAAAAAGGTACATGGCCACATTTCAACAGAATTTCATGAATGATTAGACGCTACGAACCGTCCTCCAGTCTGTGCGAAGCAGAGGTGTATTCATATGCGGTTAAAGCCATCATCACCATGCTTCGCAAGATTTCGTGCGTACCTGAGAGGAGCCAGCGTAGCATGACATAGAATCTGGGCCACGCGCTCAAAGAACGCATGGTACATTATGGTGGCCAAATTACTGGAGTATGCCATAGATACATTAAGTATTAGTATGGCTGATAAGCATGATCAAAAGACATGGCCAGTTGCAACATCTGTCACTCCAGTGTAAAAATTAAGTTGTACCGTTTCGAGACCGTTCATGCTATATCCTAATACTAAGATGATATGAACTCCAAAAGAGCCAGCAGATGTTGCACTATACGCCTGGAATGGCCAATTTCTCTGATCCCAAATGATCAGCTATGATACAGACGTCTTTGCGCAGTTAACGCCAGATAAAGACTGCATCATCATCTTCATCATGGTCGCCGTCCCACTCGCCATCCGACTCAGCGCGATCATCATCCACAAAGTCTTCCATACCGTACTGCAATTCAGTGGGCTTTTGGTTATCGAATACAATGGATACAGTAGTACAGCGTCCTTGAATCGTAAGGGGCACAGGCTTCTTTTCACCCTCGGCCTCATCCCCAGTCTGACTGGCAGCACAACCGGACTCGGCTTCTTGGCCTTCTGCATCAGAATCGAACTCATTCTCATCTGTGTCGGGTTCGGCGTAAGTTGGACGACCAAGCGAATTACGGAGACCTTTGGAGCTGTTCCTTGAATCAGAGTCCGAAGCATGTGCCGCTAGACGACTGCTTCGCCGAGATGGGCCATCAGACAGCCTCTTCAACTTTTGCTTCTTTTTCTCCGAAACCCGAGTAGATACTTCCACCTCTTCCTCTCGTGTCTGCCGAAGAGAATAATTCCTTTGCGGGGGTTCGTATGGGCGGAGGAAGACTTTATCCAGCTTCCGCCTCCATTCGTGTCGCATATTAGCGCGGGCCTTCCAGGGTATGTTGAGCATCGTCTTGACCGCAAGATGTCGAAGGTTTGGCAGGGAACGAGCACTATCTATGAGGGAATTGAGAAACATTTCGGCAGTCTCAACACTCCAATATCGTATATGTTCAAAATCAACGATCCGGAGGCTTGACGGCCACTCTGGCTTTTGATGCGGCAACAGCACTTGGTCGTACAAAGGGTCAGCGTCATTGTTGGTATAAGACCGGGATTCATGATGGCGGAAATACGAGAGGTTCATGTATAATTCCTCTAAGTTGGGACATGCAGCTTCCAAAGTGGTCAGGAAGACCATGTCTAGAGATTGGTTGTGAGACAAGTTCAGGCTGCGGAAATGTCGGCCATGCGTATGTAGGAATGGCATGAACTCATCAGACTTGACCTCCCAACAGTTGATCAGTGAGAGATGAGTGAGGTCCTTTGGCAAAAGTGGAAGAAGCCGATCGTTCATGACAGTTGAAGATTCGAACATAAGATGTTGTAGCGATTTCAACTGCGAAATCGCCTCGGCGAGCGAATCAATGACAGCCCCATCTTCATTGTACAGCGCCAACTCCTGCTCCTCATTGACGTCTTTCGGCCCCAGCTTATAGAGCGAAGGGACTTGAAGATTGGTGAAGCTTAGTTTGGTGAGGTGCGCAAATGAAGGCTCTTGATGTATACGGGCAACATCCTTCATGGTCGCCACAGGCCCTCCAAGCAAGCTTCCGCTCCATTCCCAGCTTTTTAACACGGTGTGCGACTCCTTTTCTCCGGCTGGTCTGAAGGCGGCGAATATCTCTTCAGTATATTGCCATCTCACTGTTTGATCCAGTTGCCTGTAAGGCGGCTGATCAGATTGTGTAAAGAGAAAGACTTCTTTCAGTCGAGGAAGCAAATGGAGGATTCTTGGTAGCAACGTTTGAGGCAACACATGGACATCTACGTAAAGAGTCTCGATCTTGGCACGGTAATTAAATCGAGTCTCAGAAGGTGGGCGATCCAGCAGAGATGCGAACCGTTTCGCCTTTCCAGCGGTGACCAGGGGCGGAGAACGATAAATGGCTGTCAAGGCGGCTTCTGAGAATGCCTTACAAGTTGTGGCAGTGTTTATCAGCCAATTGACGTCGATGTCATCATGACTAGCTGCATAGTAGAAGATATCGATCCAGGCGGCATACGGTATCTGCGGGTCTGTCCAGTCTGGAACGACGCCTTGAGGTATTGGCTCGGGTTCGGGATCAGCAGACACTCGTCGCTTCTTCAAGCTTCCTTTCTTCTGTGCCGGCTTTGGTCGTTTCCTCGTTTGGTCCTGTGACTTCGATGTTCTACCAGTCTGTACGTGTGCCGCCTTTGCTGACCTGGCCTGATTGGTTCTGCGAGCTCGTGTCTCGAATTGGGCATCTCCATCCTGTTCGCTCTCCGCTAGGGGAGGATCGGAGTCTCCATCTTCTGAAGAAGACTCGTTATAACTTATAGAAGCATTCTGCGACCGTAGGGGACGTGTTGTTGTTCGGGTAGAACGCGCGCTGATAGATTGCGACAGGTTGCGACGGGAGGCTACAGGAACGCTTTGTCGTTCAGTTGCTCTAGTTCGGACCATGTTCTGACGCCTGGTGCCTAGTGTAACGATCGTGTTAGTGGTATACTAGTTATCTCGATGTGTGCAAACAAGAGGGAGTGTTTGGCCAGTCCTGTTGATGGTTATTGCAGCCTGGCGCAAGCTGGGCAGGATGGATTGATCGCACCTCCAAAGGCCGAGTTTGGCGACTTGAAGCTCTCCGCAGTCGATGTCAATGACGAATTCAATAGTACCAAGAAAAATGTGCCAAATAGCGCCAGTACGTAGCGCTGCTATCGATGTGAGTGTATTTGGGCGCGCTGCGTTTTGCTGTCAGACCATGACGCGGCGGACCGTATCAAACAAATCTGAGTGTGATGTTGTTGTTAACTTAGGGTATTTGTTTGTTGGAGGGGGAGGGGCGCCCGGACGTGAGGGGAAAGAATGAAAGAAAAAGTAAGAGTTAGGTTTACAAGGTTTGATCAACAGTAAAATAATATCAAATTCGAAAAAACTAGTCAGTAATGATTAGTCGTATATTTGATGACTATATGTGCATCATGTCTATAGAAAGCATCTCTTATCATTTCTTATATATGATCTCCTACCGAGCATGCATTGGCTGTCTTATTCTTTCCTCCCCTCGGGGAGTAAGAAAACATCAGTCCCTGATACAAGGGTGTCAAAATAAGCTCAGCAAAAGGTTTCCTGCCTAAATTCAAGTATGCTACCTAGTACCTTACCTAAGGTACTCACCTAAGTCTTCCGTTTTGTCATTCAGGACCAAGGTGCTAAGTTTTCTTTCCCTCCTACCTACTTACCTTAGGTAGCCTTCCACTCCAGCCTTGTGGTGACGCACCTCGGTCGGTGTGGAGCTCCAAGAACAGAGTCGCTCTGTCGTGGCCAATCATACCTACCTTACCTAGATGGGCAATGGCTGGATGTGGCAACGTATATTTCTGGAAATCTGTGAGGCCCAAAGTTCACTGAGGGACCTGGAGGGACAAGAAATATCAAAGCAAATGTTCAAGAGAAAGAATAAATTGGATTGGCAAAAATTCACGATGTTTTGTACCTTGTTGATACAGTATGACTTCCAGTACCTACCAAGCCTTTCGTGTTGTTGGAAGTTTACGTCTCATCCCATCACACCCAGACAGCAAGCTCTGCTTCGGCCTCCAGGATATTTTGCACTCAAAACAGGGCGGGCGGCACCAAAAGCAAACATTTGATTTTCTCTTCATCAATATAGCCCCCAAGGAGATATCAAAGCCCCGCACTAGTCAAGGCCGGGCTGCAAGTCCTATACAATGTGGATGAGTCGCCAGTGACAAGCCATGATGACCCTCTTCGTCTCATGATGGATCATCGAAGATCCATGAAGGCATTGTACAATGAGGCTAAAGGGGTCCTGGCACTTCGCCTACATGCATAATCGAGGGTGGCCATGACCCTGGAGAGTCTCTTATTGGAAATGGTCTCTCACTAGAGGAGGCCTAGTGCTGAGAGACTGGATCGGAAAATCTGGCTTGAAATCAGCTCATGTCCATCGCAACTGAGGGAATAGGTATACAACATGAACTTTATGGTGTTCTACGTATTGCAAACACGCTTGCATTTGCAGTTAACAAGAGGCTACGGGGCTCACACTCACGCTCACACAGCGTACAACACCCCGCCTGCATGCATGGTAATTTCCAGCGGTTAAGTCTTTCCTTGAAGCAGAGAAGGGGAGGAAAGAAAACTCAGGACCTTGATCCTAAGCGATAGAAATATTTAGGCAAATCTGACATGAGTTTAGGGGAATTATTGCCAAGTTTATTTTGACACCCTGTATCAGGGACCGGTATTTTCTTGCTCCCTGAGGGTAGAGTCTCTAATTCGCTCCACTGTCAGTGGTCAGTGGATCCACCCCGCTAGGCTATCGCCTCTGAATGGAGGTTGTTGGTGACTGTCCAGTCTCCAGGCATGACGCTAGGAGGGCTATAGGCTCTAGTCCGTAGTAGGGAGTCGCGATAGAATTCCCACCTCACGGGCAGGGCTGCATCTCAACCTGCCACTGGCACGCGTCTCTTGCCGCGCTCTTCATTGTTACCTACCTTACCTACCTTTACTGTCAGCTCTAGTCCCGTCGCTTCTCATGAGGACGCTCTACAGGCTTCATTCTCGCCTACTGCTGCTTCATTTCAATGCAACAGAGTCCGCTGAAACCCGCTCTCTAACTTTACGGCGCGTATCGGGATCAGACAGGGCAGTTCACAGAAGGAGCGACGGGCAGCGAGCGATAGTACCTTGGCCTCAGCACTGAACTGAAACTACCTAGGAGGTACCTACCTACCTACCTACCACGGCACCTACAGAATTGGATTGTCACCACACGCGACCGGGCTCTCGCATCTCCTCCTTTAACCCATTTATTTACATCCACCTCGATCGAGTACCAAGGACACGCACACAGCACAGCTGCAGTCGCCTTCCCTAGGTTCTCACTCCTGTTCATATTCATTCATAGGCCCTCTTTCTTTTTAACTATATTCATCTCTATCCCGCCTTCTTCACTTTTCTCCTCCCGGTCCGATTCTGCAGTTTGTGGCGTTGCTGTTTCTCGCTCTTGCCTCCATACGTTGCTTCTGCTTTATTTCACTGGCCTTTCTCGGCTGTCATTTTTCCTGCCCTGACAAACCCGTTCGCATGACGACAACAGACACACATCAGCCATGAGCGTCAAGGCCATCAACTACTAATATATAATTATTTACGCCTTGTTTCTCACAATCGCAACTACGTACTGCGACGTTTCAACTTGCTTTGCCAACAAGTACAGTCACAGCCACTCACATTCTCGGCCAATCTTCAACTGTCTGCCAGTCTGCCAGTCTGCCTGTCTGTCGCATTACGCACCTTTTCTTACCTGGACTGAGCACTGCTCCTCGGATCATCTCATACCGCCAAGGTATCGCTTTTCTCCGCCATGACACAGAAAAAGCCTTTCACAAGGACTGTTCCCTTTACCCAGCGCAACTGGGAAGCGGCTCATAACGCGAAAAACATGGGCGCGACCCTCTCCACGCCCAAGAGCCAAGATGACAGTGGCCCTCCACAAAAGCGTCAGAAGGTCTCGGTTTCCCAGTCCAACGGTGACGCCTCACTCATTGATACAGAAGATCGTACGGCTCTGCGTGTTGAGATACACAAGATTTTTCACAAGGACTCTAAGAAAGTTCGACCTCTCAATGCTCTTCCCCCAGACGATATCATCAAAACCAAGGCTAAATGTCAAATCACCGTTTCCGATGTGAGCGGTGGCTTCACTCACATCCTATATCGCAGCAGTCAGAGCTGTGACATCGTCTCTCACACGAACCCGTCAGGCCCTCATCGGATTGCTTACATTAAGCCACCTAAGCCATTCCTTGTCCCCAAGGAAAGTATCTTGGTCAACAGGCAGGATGACCCGTCTCATGACTTCTCGAATGCATATAGATTGGACGTCGAAATGTTTTCAGTTCAAGATGGCAATTGGCCACCCCTCGAAGCCCATGAGCTTGGTGTCCCCGCAAGCCAGCAAGGGCCTGTCCAAGGAATCACCAAGCAGAATTGGATACTGCATAGCGAGTTTCCCCAGGTTTTTGGCAGGATAAAGAAACCCGTCAAGCTCACAGCCGGATTCCATCCACAGCGCTATGAACGTCTGACTAATTATGTGATGGATGTAGAATTGAAATGGGCCTCGGGTACTCGACGAATTGACAAGACTGCAAAAAACTGTATTACTGCTTTCGATTCAGATGGCGAGATTTACACCAATGGTGTTCTTGAACCTATATCTGATGATCTTCTCGACAGCGCGAGCCCACCCGAGCTTGAGGATGATATCGATGACACCAGCAGCACCCATCTTACAAATGATGTTCCTGTAATGAACGGCACCAACGGCATCAATGGCCTTCATGACGACGACGAAGAAATGGGTGGCGTAAATGGCATCAATGGGGACATGCATGAGATTGAGGATGTGAACGAAGTACAAGAGACGAATGGAATGAACGGGCATATTGGTGAGGAGGACTCGTCGCATGACATCTCTCATGACCTGGAGGAAGAGCTAGAAGGCGACCACACTCCCAACCGAGCATTACGAAAACGGAATAACAAGCAATACAACTTGAAGGTACTGACTGCGCAAGCCCATGGAAAAGAGCGCAAACCCCGAGATAAGGCTGGGCAACCTGAGCAAGGCGAGGGTTTCGTCACGTATATGCTGTCAGCTAATGCACCGGTTCACCTACTCTCATGGCAGTGTTGTGCCTGTGGTAACGCTAACGAATCATTGGACATTTTGAGAGCTCACCTAATGACATACCATCCGAATTATGTGTACACACTGGAAAAAACGAGTCAAGGGCCGCTGTTCCGAATTACTCATGTTTCGGGGTCTGCAGTCTCACCTTCGAAAGAGCTGCAGCTCGGAAAGCCCACAAAACCGCTTGATCAGCAGGCTTACGTTAACGGCGATGACTCCTGGGTCACTTCACGCTACGGTCCAGACCACATGGAAGACATTGTGCGATTTTCACCGAAGCACAGCACCGAACGACAACTCTTTGGAAAATCTGGCGACAATCCTCCTCAGCCTCCAGCGACAGTTACGGCGGTGATTCCACGACCGGAAAAGAAGAAGGTCATCATTCCAGAGTCTTGCCAGCCTCTCTTTGACCCTGTCAGCAAAGCTCGCCTGAAACCCGGTGAGGAGTTACCAAAGCCCGTGGTGGATAATGCATGGTTGTTACAGAAGCATCGCGAAGATATCGGCGAATTCTCTGACGTCTCGAAAGAAGAGAAGGAATACATTCGCAGATGGGACGCCTTTATTCTTCAAGAAAACGTCACATCTGGACAATATTTCAGGCGTGCTTGGGTCAAGTTTGTCAAAGAAAATGCTTCTTGGCTGGTGGGTGCGAATTATCGGATGAACGAGTATGGCAAGCACCTGTGTGTTCTGATGGCGCGAGATGTCCTGGATAACGCTAGTGTTGAGAAAGCTGGGAAGCTGATTGATGAGGCACGAGCTCGATTGAAATCAGATGAGGATGCGAAGACGAACGGTGTCAATGCGGCGGATATTACATTAAAACAGTCGCCTCGAGCTTCACAAATCACGAGAGGCGCGAATGGGTGTACAGTGTGTCAGCTCCCCGTTCTCGGACCTTCTCTACTCATCTGTTCAAACAAGGTAATGCCAACGCTGTTTGACGGCAAGCCACTGTTAACAATTTTATAGAAATGCTCAAATCGACTTTACCATGCTAGTTGCATCGAAAAGTCAGCATCCATTCCGGTCACTCGTCCCAAATGGCTTTGCAATGGGTGTAGCAAAACGGAAGCAACCTCCTAGAGCGGGGTGTCCATATCCTTGCGAAGCATTCCAGTACCTAATCCAGCAAGCTTGAACGGAGGCGACCGAAGCAGCACTGGCTCTCAAAGCGCAAAAGCTTCCCATTCGATGACTACGCGTCAAGCGCTGAGAAAAAGACGTGCGAACGTGGCTGTTGGGGAATCTGATGAGCCTACAGCCATGAAGAGGGCCAGGTTTCGAAAAGCTAACACGAAAGCGGCGAGCTCCAAAAAGAAGTGAATAATCGCCTCGAGATTTTGTGGTGGGGAATATAGCCAGACTTGGAGATATCGTGAGTGGAAGGATGGCATTGAATTTATGTTTTTATAGTCGTTTCGGCGCTTATTGGGATCGGGACACTGATGAGAAGGCATGCCCGGAGTCGGTTGATCAGGATTGAGGTAGAGGGTGGATCATTTCAGGCGTGGACATTGCTGGGTTTTCGCAGCTCATCTCTGTCGAGGCAGCCTGTACTGCAAACTTTTGGAGGTCTGTATTATATAACTATACTACCTGCATCTTGCTGTTTGTTTACGTGTGTAACAGATTTGAGCGTGACGATGAAGTAGCAACCATTGCGATGATCACCTTGAGTATAGCCACGGCCAGGCGGGCATGCAGGGCTAGTTGAAGATGCTGCTACAACGTAGAATCAAGGGGATTGTAAGCACAGCGTAACTCAGTTGGTGCGGCTAGCACTTGGGTGTGTCTGCATCTCAGGGAGACAGCCTAGTTATATAAGGATGAACAGTTAAGTTATGCAACAGTTGATGGTTACCACAACAACTCCAACCCAAGTAGTCGTATCAGTTCCGGTCTTGACGAAACGAGCTCAGTCTGCACAATCTGGGGGTTGTGAATATATTCTGCTCAATAGATGCATTGTCGATGGAAAATTCAAAATACCTTGCAGACTGGTAGGCTGATTCGCCCGATGCACCTCACGATACTTTGAAAGGCTACAAGTCGAATACACTTGATATACATATTGAAAGAGCTCTTTAGCACTGGCTAATCAAGTTTTAGGCATGCTGGGCGGTCGTCATAACGGTCTTGGCTACTGCTGCAAAAGTGATGTTCTCAGGATGATAATAGCATACCTACCTATATATCATCAAACTGATGGTGTTAGGGAATACTTTGTCACGGGACAGCATAATAGTCTGATAAATGCCAAGATATGGCCGATGAGTACAGAAGAGTCATCTAAATGTATTTGATAGAAATTAGACATGGTGGCTTGTTTTCTGATGCTATGCGATTCAAGATCAAAGATTGGAGAGAAACTTCAGCTTGATTTTCTTGGACCAAGCCTCTTCTTTGCGCGTTAGCCCTTTTAATGAAGGGATTAACTCGAGATACATCGAGGCTATAAACTTGAATGCCTAGTGGAAGGATTTCGCCAAAATTGAACGACCAGTCTGGATCCAATGTGATAGAGGAAGCCAAGTAATTGGTAGAGAGTAGTATTAATAGGGTTCGAGTTTTAAACGGTAAATAATATGATTTGGGGAAATGGCGAATCCAAGTTCTAATCACATCAAAAAGGAATAAGAAACCCGCCGATGATATCTGGTCACTCTTGGTGGTCTATTTTACAGCACATGACGAGCTGTTTGACGAGGTGCTTGGAGGCGTGGCATGAAGGTGGACAGTGTCCAAATGGTCATGTCGTTTTCAGTATCCCAAGTATTAGGTATGATATGAATACACTAGGCCTATTTGTATCCCTTTTATTATTATTTGCAACATGCAAGGCTTCTTGGATAGCTGGAAGGCCCTCTGCTGTTATTTCAAGCCAAGTTCTTTCACAGACGTACACATCGGGACCAGAAGGTATTGCATGTGCAATGAGCATGGATGGATTTGACTATAAAAAGTTCGAAAGCAATGAAACATGCTTTTCGTATGGTTTAAGGAATGTGAAAGGTGATGCGACCTTTCCATGGTTGATGTCGGAATGATGAGGCCATCATGAGTTGGATGAGCAGTGTTGTTGAAGTGCCTCAACACCAATAAAATGCCACAATTATTGTCAATGACCTGTTAATACGACCACTGAAGGACGGTGAGAGTGATGTCAACTCCGTCGGTCAAGTGGGTGGCTTCATCATGGTCACCTCGCTGCCGCCAGCTCATGGGTATTATGGGCCGTTGGGTAACAGATCAACATGGCATAAGCGAGCCAAAGATTCTTGTATAGCATATCAGACACAGTGGCCTCGATGGATTGTGCGAGTCACCGTATGCATACGTCACAGAATTCGCCTGTGTTCATTGAGTGACCAGTGACCGGGCACCATCAAGCAATCAATGCCCATCATGAGAACCCACCCACCCACTCACTCACTCAGATCAGCACATTGATCCATTGCAGATGGGATTGTATCGCAGAGAAGAAGCGTGATAACCGCACAGTCGAGTCCACGGCACGCCTTTTGATGATGAAATGAGAAACACACCACAGTGGGCACGCAGTGCATGATCAATGGGTTAGTACCTAGATAGCCTCATGTTGTCAGCATCAGCCAATCGCCGCGTTTCCCGCATAAGCAACCATGACCATGACTACCTATCTATAGGTGTCCGCACTATATATATATCCAGACACTCAATAGAAGCCATTAATTACATCTGTTTGTTTACCAGGCAGTGCTCCAACACTTCACCCAACTCTGCCAAGGTCATCCTGAGGCGAGTACTGACTGATACAGGCTTGACAACACTCTCAGTCTCGACAAAGTCACCGTGTTTTGCTCTTTTATCGTGTCTTCCTTGGGGCGATTCCTTGGAGTTTTCGAAACAACTCTCAGCGAGGCCCACGATGTCACCATCTCCGCCCACGATCTGGTTGGATGTTATCCCACATTGCGGCCCCACCTGGTTCACGCATGAGGTGCAAGCCTCCCGCTGTGAGATAGGCATGTACACCTCATACCTGACTCAGCTCAGCCATGCTAGATACTAGGTACCTTAAGTTACCTTACCTAGGTACTTAGGTATATAACAGAGTTTTCGCATTTCGCCCTCAGTCAAATTTCCAAGGTTGGTCCAGGCGTTGAACGTTGGGCAATTCATGCGCTGCAGAACATCATGCGCTGCGCAACGCAACGCAACGCAATGCGATTCGAGGGGATGGAGCCCTTCCGCGGCAGGTTTCATATCCAGAATCAAGAGCGTTGGTACCAGAAACGAAAGTGAACAGAGATAGGTTATTTATGACTCCCACTAACTCTCCTGGAACTGTCGCATTCCAGTTGTTGAAACCTCGTTCACTCGCTCTAGCACCCGTGCATATAAACCAAATGGTGATCTATGTCTCATCACATACGACCAAAGGTAGTGGAAAATACGGGATCCCGTCCGCTCTCCCATAGTCAAGCCACTAACCGGCGGATTAGTAGTTGGGTCGGTGACGACCAGCGAATCCCCGCTGTTGTATGTTCTTTAATCTTTTTGCAAATCCTATCTGAATCTCTCCTTTTGCCTTGATGTGCCCGTATGGGGGGATGTGCCTGTGTGATGGAATGGCCTGGTTACCTCGGCCGCTGGCTGGCCTCAGCAGCCGGCCGCGCTAGTTTGTCCTGACGAATGCAGAGCTGGCACTCCATTGACTGTTAACCAATAGCAGGCTTATTATAGCGTGCAAGGGGTTGAGAACTGTTGGCTTTGCGGGAGCTTGAACGAGCGGTTTAGGTACACGCTCAAGTCACATGGACATCTGCACAGTTTCTTATTGCGTGAGAGACGATGAGATAGTGATCCAGGGCCACTGACCACTGACCGCCTCCAGGCTGGTTGTTATCCTGACACGAATGGGCAGCCTGTTCATTAAATGCATGCCTGGCAACTCCGGCTCACCAAGGCAATCGCTGCCAATACAACCCATACAAACAACTTATCCGAGCCACCACCTGCAACAGCCTCAAGCTCAAGCCTGATACCCCCCGAGCTTCAACCTTACAGGGAATCTTGTGCTCATCTTCAACAATCGCGAAGAATGGGTCTGTGATATTGGCTCTCTCTCTCTGTAGCCCAGCCTTGCATGACCGCGGTAGCACCAGGACCAACATCCGCAGGCTGGTGTTATATTCATGCACATCACATATGAACACACCGATTGCCAAGTATAGATCAATCCATACTTACCTGCGTCTTCTAGCCACAAGTGAGGGCTCCCTTCACTGTTCCTATCTGTTTCTCTTAGAAAACAGCCGTCAAGCTCTCTAGAGTGATCAAGTACGCAAATACGAATCCAACAAAGGAATGAGACGACAAGTTTACCACTGACAACATAGGCATTGGTCACGTATTATACTTGAGAATCTCATTGAGATCGTCTAGATCGATCACATAAGGGACTTCTACGAGGGTCAAGTTTGGTTTCAAACTCGTCATCAAACACAGCGTCGAATAGACTGTGGGAAAAAGCAACTCTTTGATGCCATAGATCAACTTTTTGTGATATAAGCCCATATATTCCAACATTTAGATAACATATTGTGAAAGGAGGACTTGTCAGATTTATTCCGTTTTGCCTACAACAAAGCCAAGAACCGAAAGCCCGATGCAGCCCTTACCTAGAAAGTCTCATCGTGGCCACTCGTTTGATATTCACTCTACAACCATGTCCTTGATGTATTTACCAAACCTCAAGAAGCATGATGTTCACCCTGTTTTAGCCGTTGAGCTGCCTTGTCCGCGTTGTAAACTAGATATTAAAACGCCTGGTCACTAACCCCAGTTCCCACCGATGGTACAGTCTGACAGTTCTTGACTGTCAATATTAGTATCTTCCCTTGCCTTCCCTCCGCTTCTCCTTGAGCTCTGCCTCAGTCTTCTGTCTCTTTCTGCTCTCCTGAGCGATCATCTCACTCAAGTCATCGTCATACGCCCACTTGGCTCCAATGCCCTCTTCCTTCCTACCCTCCTCGAACTTGCGCCGCAGGTCGTCTTTGCTGATACCATCGTGGTTGTGCAACGAGTCGACATCAAGAGCAACGTCGATATCGCCAGGCTTCTTGCGCTTGCGTGAATCGTCATCGGCGCCGAGAACAGGCACGCCTGCTCGCTGAGCTGCTTGTGCTTGCTTGAGGTCATATACCCTGTCACTACCGAAGAATCCTTCGGCGCGAACTTGGCGCTCTGGCAGGATCGTGTAGGCGGATCGAGGAGCACTAGACTCTTCTGTGTCGTAGCCACGGCGCTCCTTTCGTAAGTCCATCTCACCAGCAATAGACGTCTCGACACCTTGCCCGTAGTCCGCCTGCACCGTGCTGGCATAACCACTGGGAGTCTCGAGGCCACTGGGTGTCTCTGTTCCGCCAGGAATATCATCGTCTTCCTCCTCTTCCTCTTCATCTGACTCTTCCTCCTCCTCCTCTGATTCCTCTTCTCGTGGCTGCAGCTCACCCCACAAGTTCTTCTCTACAGGCTCACCGGCTCCCGCGTGCATTTGTGCCCCTCCTTGTCCGCCCTGTGCCGCAAGACCGAAGACATCACCACCAAACAAAGGCCTGTTGAACTCATCAACTGGGGGCTTACCCCAACCACCGGGATGGAAGCCCCATGAGCCTCCAGCCGGTGGTGGCGCATTCAGTCCGGGAATCTTCAGAGTAGGATAGGATGGAGGAGGCCCGAATCGTTGTTGGTTGATGAGCCATGGTGGTGGTGCACCAGGAGGCATTCCCAGGGCTTCCTTAGTACCCTCGGTGAGGTCACCCGGTCGGAAATGTTGGTAATCGACCTCAGACTCTTTGCCTTCATAGTAAACCTCACCGAATCGCGTCAATTCGGGCTTGGTCTGGAAACGGAAGAAAGCATCGTAAAGTTTCTGGTAATCGATATCGAGCTTGCCCATCTTTGGGGCAACACGTTCCCTCTGTTTCTGTTTCAGTGACTGTTCTGCCTGTTTATCGAGGACGGCATCGCGCATTTCGGTAATGCCGGTTTCTGCGATGAACTGGGGTAGCCGGAAAGGTGGCTTCTCGATACCTCGTTTTGAAGACAGATACTCTCGCTTTAAAGACCAATGGGTTGGTACTGGAACGACGTTTCGTTGAGCTTTGATCTGAACAAGCAGTCGAGGATCCGACGAGGATACGTCCTGCCATTCTACCACCTCAGGGACCTTGACTAAAGCCTTGAGCTCTGCGATAGAGATGGTGTTGAGCTGCTTCTTCTTCTTTTTGGATAACTTGGGCTGTCCGTGGTTCTCCTCGTCTTCGTCTGGAATCTCGTCGTCATCCGCGTAAAACACTGTCCCTTGATTGCCAGCGTTGGCCTCCTTGGCGATTTCGTCCTCCTCCATCGACGCGCCGAATTTGCTAAATATGTCCTTGTACATGGCATATGCAGGATCCTCCTCATCCATGTCAACTTCAGTGGCATGACCATCTGTGGTAGCGGCATCTTCGGTTGTCGACCCCTTCTTCACTTCGAGATTTGTCGTCGTAGTCTCGGCGGCATCGTGTTCTTCACGGCTGGTAGCCTCGGCGGTTTCCTCGGTCTTTGTAGGGGTAGCCTGCAGCGCGTCAGCGGGTGATGTCGCAACGGGGGCGAGGAGACCAGAACATACCTCTGCTTGTGCCTTCTTCTGCTCCTTCTTCTTGGCCCTGCGCATCTGGTTCTTGGTCATCTTTGGGGCCGCCATAGTGAATCAGAGGCTGGCGACGTTGGCGTCGCGACCAGGGATTGTCTTTTGCTTGTGGTTGGATTGAAGACTTGGGTCGTGAGCTGGAAGGTGGCGTAGGACAAGGCGAGCGCGAGAATGGCCTGCTTAGGGTCCCTGTTCATGCCCTCGAGTAACAGAGACAATACACACAAGAGTCGAAGGAGGGTGATGTTGGAACAGAAGCACAGTTGGATGCGCCAACAGAGAGATTGGTTTAGCTGATGCAGGTGGAGACGACTTTTGCGCGACGCCTTCAAAAGTTTGTCTCCCGTCAACCTCAGAGTAGCAGCTTAGCCTTAGATAGCCTTAGCGTACCTTAGGTAGCTCACGTAAACTAAATGGCGGCTCAGGGCGGCTAAAGGTACCTTATCAGCTTATCAGCGGCGGCTGCCGGACTAACCGCGGAGGGAGGCCAGCAAGCCACGTAATGTTGGTTACAGGCTTATTACAGAAGGTCCCAAGGAATGGGCCCCTGTAACCCCCCGTGTGCAATCTATCTGGCATCGATTCGTTCTCCTATTGGAGCCTCTTGGTTTAATTATAGGCTGTACCTTGCTTATCCCACTTGCACCATTCCTACTTTGACGTGAACACCAACAGAAGCTGCAGCACTTGGTTATAACTTGGCATTCTTTTTTCTCTTCAGCTTCACCAGCTTCTGGTCCTTATTTCCATAGAGCCAGCAACGTCGCCTTATTCGAGCGCTGTCATTTGTTCCCTCCCGCGCTTTCGTTCTCAGGCTTGGCTTCGTCATTCGACTTGTAGCTCGCGCCTTGGCCTACAGCCTCAGGTACCTGGGAGATAGCCAGTACGAGTCGACCCTTCGATAAGCGATGAGCGTACGTTTTCGTCGACGATTATAACGAGTTACTCGAATATTGCCTTCGTCATTTGTCGCTCGTTTAAACCCCGATTCGAATCAATTCAAACTGAACACGCAACCTTAATACCTGGCCTTTGCGCCGCAATTTAATATCCTCTCCCTTCTTATCACTCTCCTGTGATGGAAAAGTTCCCCGACTTCATCGATACGCCCCTGGGCGAATCACCCTCAGAGAGCCCTTTGAATCCTCCCGGTTGGGCAAACGGCGCACCTCCTCGTCCCTCAGATCGATGGCGACCCGCCTCGAAGTCAGATAATGGCTGGTCAACAGCTCCTCGAGGGCACAATCGACAAAAGAGCCTCACAGATGCTATTCGTACCATAAGAGGTCGCAATGGCAGTGTGAGCCAGAACGCCCACGAGATCGCCGATGCCCTTCGTGCCCCGGTCTCTCCGAAGCTTATTGTACGCCCCTTCTTCTCGAGTCCCAAGCCCAATGTAGAGTTACCAGTTCAATGTGCTGACCTGATGTTGCGGTACACAGATTCTGTGCCTGTTGTGGTACACTTCGTCTGCCCTTACCAACACCTCCTCCAAGTCCATCTTGATAGCTTTTGACAAGCCCGCTACCTTGACGCTGGTCCAATTCGCTTTCGTCTCCTCATTATGTATCTTCATGGCATGGCTTGCGACCATCTTCCCAGTCTTGCGAACCAAAATTACAGCTCTCAAGCACCCAATTCGAAAGCCAACTCGCGACGTTATCAGAACGACTCTGCCTTTAGCCGCATTCCAGATCGGTGGTCACCTTCTTAGTTCGACAGCTACCTCAAAGATCCCTGTGTCACTTGTCCATACCATCAAGGGTCTTTCACCCCTCTTTACCGTTCTCGCTTATAGGATTGTGTACGACATTCGGTACCCCAAGACGACCTATCTGTCTCTGATT